GTAAATAATAGTTAAATAGCGATTCTATATTCACTAAATAATTACTGATATTATTTATGTTCTGCTACTTCAAACAAGTACGTTTATAAATCTTAGGATCCCAGTGGCACAGCGGTATGCCTGCTGACTTACAACGCTAGAATCCGGGTTTCGATACCCGTTGTGGGCAGAGCACAGATAACCCATTGTATGGCTTTGTGCTTAATTACAAACAAACAAACCCATTCAATAGATCGACTAAAGGAAAGGATCTTCAATAACATAGTGAAAAATAAGTCATTCACGCCATCAAAGAGGAGTTTTGTGGCTAGTTGTAAAGCTAATACGATTTCAGGGTGTATTTATTAACATATATTGATTAAAAATTAAAAATGTAGTTATCTTCTTACATAGATCACCAGTTAGGCCTCACATAGATTATTGTACAGTTTGGTCTCCTTATCTAAAAAATCATACTGACTTATTGGATATGGTTCAGAGGAGAGATGCAAGATGATTCTTACATTGGAAGAGTTATCTTATAAGGATAGGTTAATATTTCTTAATTTCTTTTATCTTAGTCTATAGGATGATCTTAATGAAGTTTACAAGATTATCGAAGGACTTATGATTTCTTTGTGACGAATTTTGAATACAAATAGGACTAGAGGACGCAAATTTAAGATTCGAAATAGACATTCTAGGCTTCAGTTAGGCCATTATGAAATAATTATTAGATTATCATCCTATGTGCACGCCCGACCCCACTTTTTCGAAAAAAAATATATAGTAAAAATAGAATGATAATATAATGATTATTTTACATTTACCTTATGACAGTTTTTATTTTTCAACAAAGTGGCTAGTTTATGATTAACTGTCAGCAGTAGTAGAGGTTGACATGTTACGAGAAGGAAATCAATGATTTCCTGTAAAATAAGAAATAGGTTTATTTTTACTTGCAGAGACAATCTTCAAGAACAATATCGTACCTTGTTGTCCGTATTTTATGTCATGAAATCCACTTATCTACGACTTTTTTTACTACAAATCACGGGTAGTATCCTAAAGAAACAACGAACGACTATGAAAATAATTATAATAATTAGTGGATCGTACGACCAAGATGGATCAACAAGTCTCTTGTTGTCCTTAAATTATATATGTGATATATTAATGCTAGATATCCATATATAAAAATAATATTTTGGTATTTTGCTTTGATGTCTTTGTTTGTTTGAATTTTGCG